AGAGTGTTCCTCCAGCAGCTCCAGAGTTGTGGGGCATCAAGCAACCTACAAGCCAGGGAGAGACTGAACAGCATCCTCCTAAGGACCTCAGTACCTACCTCTCCTTTCCAAAAAGTTTAACCCTCTCCTTTCCTAAAAATCTAATCCTGTATGAAGTATCTGGCCTAAAATTTATAAAATTTACAGTAAGTTACAGAATTATTTTATTTATCTATGTAATCCGAGTCTGAAGAGATTCAATCCAAAGCCACAACGTGTAACGTAAAATTCACAAACCAAATTAAAACCGGAGGGCAGCTGCCTATCCTTAGCAAACACACCATGAGTACTGTTTGGGTCTTGTACAACAAAAGGTGAAGATTCATTCAATTGCGACAACTGGCAAAGTCCACACGTGCCAGTCTCCACCATCAACCGCATTTTAGCTTTCGATTCAGACACAAAGTACAAAAAGGGAAATCCTTAAAGGGCTGAACTACTTTATAAATCCTCAAGCTGTTGAAATTCCAGCATCTCCTTCCTCTTCGTAGAGCAAGCCTGCTCTATGTTGACCCTTTCCATGACACCAAGGTTTCCATCTCCTACACAACCCGCACACCCCGAATCGACTCAGAGTGTTCCGCAGCTCTGTTGGACCAATACGAATGGTGACTTCTGTATTTCACGTGCTCTTCTTTTTGCTGAGAAACAGATTAAAAGGAGGAGTGCTCTGAAGAGTAGTGCCAAATAAACATCAAGCACAGCAGTTGTAATAGTCCATGCTCCTTCTTTGAAAGGCTTCTCGTGAAAGAAGGTTAAGATGGGACCTCAGAGTCTTCAGATAATAGTTGGCCTTTAAGTTTAAGGCCTTTTGCCTAGTGAGAGACTTTAAGGGGGAGACATTCAAATAATATGGGCCTTCAAACAGGGAGCCAAAAATTTAAAAACTAAAATCAAAAAATGCAGCTCTGATCTGCTTTGTGGTCACTGTATGATGAAAACTGAAGGTGGATCTGAAGCCTTCATACAAGAAACAGGATGGATTAAAGGCAGAGGATAATGATGGTAATTTTATTAGGGAAATAAATCAGAATTGCTTCTGGGCAAGGCAGGGGTGAATTTCTTGCAACAGACTTTTTAATGACTCTTCTCTTAAATTAAATTGAATGACTAAAGATCACAGTGAGTCAATCTCCTTCAAGAACAGAAACGTGTAAAATGCTTCCCTGGTACGGTACGCTGTGGGTTAAAATGTTCTGGTCTTTCACCCATTTGAGGAAATGACACCAGCTCTCCCGGAAGGCAACACGCACATTCAACCCCTTCACATCAGGGCATGAGAAAGTTTGGAAGGAATTTCTTTTTTTTTTCTTAAACTGTCAACATTAATACTTTGTTTCTTCCTGCTTGTGTCTGAAGATACAGAGCTGCACCGCGCTGCATGGATGTCCTGTCAGCTGCACAAAGAAACATCTAGAAGTTTAAAAAAAAAAAACCCTCGAAACTAATAAGTGCTACCTAAATCTGCTGTCAACATTTGAAAACCCTCTGCATACTCAAAACAAAATTAATATTGTGAGCAGTGTACACTGCATAGTGCCAGAAGCATCTTCAGAAGGGATGCTGGGCTAAATAAAACAAATAAAAATAAAATCGACATTACACACGCATAAGTCAAATAAAACAAATAAAAACAAATAAAATAAAATCGACATTACACACGCATAAGTTCGGTCATACTCAGTAAAGAAGATAAGTTTAATTGGGTTTCTGCCTAAATGACATTTATATGGCAAGGAAACAGAACAGGTAATAGAAAACCAAGGGTCCAGAAACATGGTACAGCCCAACTATGTCGAGGTAGGAGCAGAGAAGGACACAGAGATAGATGATGTACGACCATGGTTCCCATTCAATGTGGTGGAATAATTCAAGTCATTAGGTGCTCCCAGAAATTAAACAGCTGCAGTAATCCGGTTAAGAGGTCTTCCATTCTGGGCTGTGCAGAGTAGGAAAGGGTTCGGACTGTAACACAGAGTGACAGCTGAATTACAGATGAGGCCCAGAAAATAAACGAACAAACTCCTAGATCCGGATAATTGGGACCCAAACCTCTCGCCATGGTGTAAGACTCCTGATAGCTCACACACTGGGAAATGAACACATTTTCGTACCCAATTTGTACCCACAAAGGTAATTCTGATTACCTTTTGCTTATTGCTTATATTAATAATTGCTTATTACAACTGCTTTCAAATTTTAATTTAATTGATAAGATGGAACCAACAGGGCCTCAGTTCAGGAACAAAAGCATAAGTTATGATCCAGGTAACGTGCCCTAGTTCATCTTTCCCAAAGGATCCCAAGTATTTCTTTGAATTTGAATCATGTTATACCACACCTGCAGCAGTGCCAAAGCCACATTTCTAGTATGTTAACTACATGGCTGAAAAGAGAAGCCATATATACCTTTATAAAGGAAGGAGGGAGCAGACGGTGACTTACCTTCCCCCAGCTCTGCCTCTTACATCGCTATGAACATTACCA